ATGTCTATGCAAATTGCACAAAAAGTAGTGAATGTACTACTTCGGAAATCGGACCAACCAAGTCGGAACCGCACCGATTGGCATACGATTTGCATGGCATGCAAATCGCACCCAGTGCTACTGGGGTGTTAACCAGGAATGCGTAATATACTTACTGATACAAAGATACACTATATTGCCAAAAGTATTGGGCCAGCCCTCCAAATCATTGGATTCAGGTGTTCCAATCACCTCCATGGCACAGCTGTATAAAATCAAGCACCTAGGCATGCAGACTGGTTCTACAAGGAGTTGTGAAAAGAATGGGTCACTCTCAGGAGCTCAGTGAGTTCAAGCGTGGTACCGTGATAAGATGTCACCTGTGCAATAAGTGTCGGATGCAGTGGTGTAAAGCACGCCACCATTGGACTCTAGAGCAGTGGAGACGTATTCTCTGGAGTGACCAATCACACTTCTCTGTCTGGCAATCCGATGGATGTGTTTGGGTTTGGTGGTTGCCAGGAGAACAGTACTTGCCTGACTGCATTGTGCCAAGTGTAAAGTTTGGTGGAGGGGGGATTATGGTGTGGGGTTGTTTTTCAAGGGTTGGGCTTGCACCTTTAGTTCCAGTGAAGGGAACTCTTAAGGCATCAGCATACCAAAACATTTTGGACAATTTCATGCTCCCAACTTTGTGGAAAGAGTTTGGGGATGGCCCCTTCCTGTTCCAACATGACTGCACACCAGTTCACAAAGCAAGGTCCACAAAGACATGGATGAGCGAGTTTGGGGTGGAGGAATTGCTTGGCCTGCACAGAGTCCTGACCTCAACCCCATAGAAAACCTTTGAGATGAATTAGAGCAAAGACTGTGAGCCAGGCCTTCTCGTCCGACATCAGTGCCTGACCTCACACATGCCCTTCTGGAAGAATGGTCAAACCTTCCCATAGACACCCTCCTAAACCTTGTGGACAGCCTTCCCAGAAGGGTTGAAGCTGTTATAGCTGCAAAGGGCGGGGCCAACCCAATATTGAACCCTACGCACTAACACTGAGATACCATTAAAGTTCATGAGTGTGGAAAGGCAGGTGTCCCAATACTTTTGGCAATTAAGTGTAAGCACTAGGGGGTGCAATTACAATTCTGTAACCAAAATACGGAACAGCAAAGAAAGTAAAAATGTGAAAGAGTGGAAAAAGCTTTTAATTAAAATCTTGTAATAATGTAAGGTGTGTTATTTTTGGAAATAACTTTTCTTTAATTAAACCGATCTGTTTTTGCCTTTGTTTTTTTACAGTAAAGGTCAGGCTGTAATTTCTGCTCTGTAATTCCGATTTTATTTTTAAATTAATTTAGCAGAATGCCATCTGAATCAATCTTGGAATTATAGTCTCTCCCCAGCGCTCTGCAAGTTCTCAGTAAGCAGCCCAACTAGCGGATTTTCCAAAATGAGCCCAGTGATGTCTTCTTCCTTTCATGTGAGGAGTCAGACACTTCTGTGCTGCTGTCAGCAGATCATCATTAAGCCTATATTTTGCCTGTGGCAGCTTGTGACATAGATGCATAATTTGAGGCTTCGGCTTTATACCCTACATATTCCACATCCTGCATTTTCTAAATCACTATTGATTTCACATTTGATGGAGCTACGTCATCTACACATCTGCCTTGGGTCCGCAACCCATACTTTGCGTCTGACCTGCGACCTACACCAAACACTAACAATATTTACTCAATTCATCTGTGCAATTCAGATAAGAAGAGAGTAAAATGATGTTCCTTTCAAAGTGGCTATTCCGTTCATTCAGAAAAGACGGGCCAGTCTGTAAACTCGGCTTGCTGCTTCCACAAAATGTTTCTCCTTTCATTTCCAAAGCGATTCAAAACGTGGCACAATTTCACATCCAGTGCTGCGCATGCTGCCAGGAAAAGGTAAAACTACAGAAAATGTCGGATAGTAGGGTGGGGAGCTATACCAGGGCATGAAAGCTCATGAAGGATGCTTCAAACAGTGGCTTAGTGGTTAGCACTTCTGCGTTGTAGCACTAGGGTCCTCAGTTCAAGTCCTATCAGGACATCTGCATGGAGTTTACATGTTCTCCCTGTGCATGCACAAGTTGCCTCTGGGTACTCTGGTTTACTCCCAGACTCCAAACACATGCTGGTAAATTAACTAGCTCCAATCTCAAAAATTGACCCTAGTATGATATTCTACTGAGCACAAGGGTGGCTGTCTCACCATCTGCCACAACAGTAGATAAAGCACCTCAGGAGGTGTGGGAAAGTGGGGTGGGCAACTGTACCAGGTCTTTAAAAGTTCTCCAGTGGCCTAGTGGCTAGCACTTCCATCTTACAGCACTGGTGTCTTTAGTCGAAGTCCCATCAGGACACTATCTGCATGGAGTTTACATTCCTCTGGGTACTCTGGTTTGCTCCCACACTCCAAAGCCATGATGGTAGGTTAAAGGTCCCACAAATTGGCCCTAGTATGATAGTGTACTCAGAATTCCAAAGATGGCTGCCTCACCATCTGCCACAACAGCAGATAAAGCACTACTGGAGGTGTAGTTGAGGTGGGCAACTGTGTGTCAGCACCCAACTGTGGGTGGCCATAGGTGGACAACCATATCCTGAAGGGAGTTACAACGGAAATGCTCCACTTCAGCTTCTCTGTGTCTCAACCTGACTGGGAGCAGGCTAACTCTTCATCTTGTCTAGCGCTGTCACCACCATCCCAACACCCAAAAAAGAAAATGAACACACCAGGCAGCCCCTTTGCATAAGACTTTTTTGTTTCAGCAATCACTTCATCCACATGGGCCACTCGGAACCACGTGGATGGAGTTCTTACATATTTTTAGCCCCCAAGTGCATTACTTTACATTTTTCAACATTAAACCTCATGTATTTGCCCACGCCCTTTATTGAGATATTTTTTGTAAAGTTTATATATCCTGCAATAACATCACAGCAGGATATAGAAACTGTACAAGAAGACTTCAATAAAATTAAGGAGTGGGCATATACATGGCAAAAGAGGTTTCATGTTGAAAAATGTAAAGTAATGCACTTGGGGCTAAAAATATAAAATGCAAGTAACACGCTAGGTGGAGAACCTCTGGGGGAATCCAGGACAGAAAAGGATCTGGAGGTCCCAGTAGAAGACATGCAATGCCAAGCTGCAGCAAGCAAAGCTAACAAAATGCTAGCATGCATAAAAAGGGGAATTTACTCCAGAGATAAAACTATAATCCTGCCACGTTATAAAAAAAACTCTGGTTCGGCCACATCTGGAGTATGTATTCCAGTTCTGGTCACCAATGATCAGGAAGGATGTGCTTGAGCTGGAGAGAGTCCAGCAAAGAGCAATAAAATTAATAAGGGGACTGGAGGACCTCAGTTATGAGGAAAGACTACAAACATTAAACTTATTCCCTCTGGAGGAGAAGAGACGCTTGAGAGAAGATACAGTGAAGGAAATAAGTATTTGATCCCCTGCTGATTTTGAATGTTTGCCATCTCACAAAGAAATGATCGGTCTAAAAATCGAATGGTAGGTGTATTGTAACACAGAGACAGAATAGCAAAAAAAAAATTCAAAAGAAATGTATGTCTAACAAATTATGCACAGATTTGCATGTTCATGAAGGAAATAAGTATTTGATCCCCTTCACAAAACATGACTTAGTACTTGGTGGCAAATCCCTTGTTGGCAATCACAGAAGTCAGACGTTTCCTGTAGTTGGCCACCAGGTTTGCACACATCTCAGGAGGAATTTTGGCCCACTCCTCTTGGCAGACCCTCTCCAAGTCATTAAGGTTTGGTGGCTGACATTTGGCAACTCAAACTTTCAGCTCCCTCTACAGATTTTCAATCGGATTAAGCTCTGGAGACTGGTTAGGCCACTCCAGGACCTTAATGTGCTTCTTCTTGAGCCACTCCTTTGTTGCCTTGGCTGTGTGTTTTGGGTCATTGTCATGCTGGAACACCCATCCACAACCCATTTTCAATGCCCTGGCTGAGGAAAGAAGGTTCTCACCCAAGATTTATCGATACATTGCCCCATCCATCATCCCTTTGATGCGGTGCAGTTGTCCTGTCCCCTTAGCAGTAACCTGAGAGTTGGCTGTACAAAGGTTTGTATGGTTAGATTGTAATGTGTATCACGACCCTTTGGGCTTATTCAATAAAGAAAAGGGATACCTCTCAGGTAAAACAATCAATTTCAGACCCAACACAGGTGCTGGCTCCATGTTGGGCTCATTGACACAGGCATGCCAATCTGTTTGGACGCGCAAAGGGCTATCTTTTCCTACATGGGATGCACAGGTGTTGTGTGACACAGACACAGGCGCTGGTCCCAATTTGACAGCCGTGAGGGTGCGTGTTGCCGAACACATAAATGTGTATGTTCAGGGACACACACCCCCCACAAACACAGTTGTCCAATTGGGACATGAATGGGATTGCCTGCACGCAGATGCATGGATCAAAACTGGGACCAATGGCTGTGCCAGTACAACCATTGCATCATAATAGACATGAATGGGATTGCCTGCATGCAGATGCATGGATCAAACTGGGACCAATGGCTATGCCAGTACAACCGTTGCTTCATAATAGACATGAATGGGATTGCCTGCAAGCAGATGCATGGATCACCTGTGCATCCCGTGCAGGCAAAGAAGGCCATTATGGCCTACACACAGGCATAAGGATCGATGCGTCCATGTACATTAGCCTTTAGGATTAAAGTATCCTTAGGGCCAGTGTTGATTGTCTTTGAAGGTCCTAATGCGGGCATGCTTTTGATTTTAGTTTCCTCGGAGACCTTTCAGAATTCATTGACAGGTGAAAAAGTTATTTTTTGCATCCCCAATAATGAAAAAGTTATGAAGTATACAAAAGTCTCTAACACTGGCCCTTACTAATACCTTCACTGTGAATTTATGTATCACTGTGACACTCCCAGTGTAGTTCAGTACACAGATAGTCAATGCTAACAGAAATCAAAACCTACCTCTCGCTTGTCTAAGGCGGCGTATTCTGCTTCAATGTCGTCTGCCTCTGGGTCCCGCGAGAACACCATCTGAGACTCCAGTTTGAGCGCCAGGTCCTTGTGGTTCTGTTTCTCAGAGCAGTCACAGGGGGTGTCCTTGTTCTCATTTTCAGCAAAGAGGTTACTTCCATTCCTCACTAGTAGCTGTTAGAAAAAACATACGATGCTCATTATTTCATAATTAAATTGCAACTAAAAAATAACAATTTTATAGATCTTGGCTTACTGGTCCTCAGATGTGATGGTGTCATTAGTTTTTTTTAAGTGGAAATTTCACCTGGAAATCCTGAGAATAACACACTTCCTGTCTTTGGTTTCAAAAACCAGTCAACCCTATTTGAACATTTGATTAATATTTTGCACACATTTCAGGCCTGAATATTACTTAAAGCCAAACTTCAGGCAACTAAAAAGTTATTCCATGCAGCGAGGCTAAGCCTACATGTTCTAGTCTATGAGGGCAAAAAAAAAAAAAAAAGTCCTCCACTCCTCTCTGCAGTTAGACTAGTCCCCGCAGCTTAGTCTCCCATCACTTCAGTAGTCCTGACATCATCAAGACAAAAGCAGGGTCCATAGTCATAGGCGCAATGACACTAAGGGACAGTTCACCACCGGAGTCATTAAACAAAGTCATTCAAACAAGTCATTAAAAGTCATTAAAAGTGATTGCAAACCTATTTTTTTAAAATAATAAAGCCAGCGTGCAATGGGGGCACTCCTGCAAGCTCAATCACAAGGCAGGATCTGTATGTCCATTGACACACAAAGTGCAGCTCTGCCTCGCCTCCTAGCAGGCTATGATTGACAGCAGCAAGAGCCAATGACTGCTACCTCCATGTCCAGCACTGTGCACAAGAGCAGTGGCTCTATATCTCCTCACTGGACATGGAGCCGAGGGGGAACCCTGGGCAACATGGCAGATCCAGGGGGAGCCCTCGGTGGCATGGCATAGCCGGAAGAAACTCTGGGTAGCATGGCAGGAGTACTCTGGGCAGAGTCAGAGGTGAACCCTGGGCTGCATTGCAGAACGGGGGGGGGAACACTGGGAAGCACAGCAGAGCTGAGAGAAACACTGGGCAGTATGGCAAAGCCGGGGGTACTCTGGGCAGAGCCAAGGAAAACCTTGGGTGGCTTGGCAGATCCGGGGATGGGGTGGGGGGGACGGGGCTCTGGTTGGCTTGGCAGGAGTGGGTGTACAGAACTTGACATCATTGTCCCTTAGAGATATAAAAAGTCGGTTGGCAATTTATTTCACCAACATCAGTTCATAATGCTCTACTTATGTCCCATTTATTTGCCCATCACCTTACCTCAATACAAGTTTTCATCCCTGAGGCAGCAGCATAGTGCAAAGGTGTGTTCTTCTTGTTGTCCGTGGCATCGAGTGCAGCCCTCTCGTACTCGCCATGGTCAAGCTTTGCTCCTTTCCACTCTAGAAACATCCGTAAACACTCAGACCTCCTGCGGTCGTCATCCACTGGTCGGGGCAAGCGGTGGTCTAGAGCACCTTCTGAGATCCGCAGATCGGATCCCATACAAAGCAAGTGCATAGAACTCTCATTGTGAATGTTGCGTTTGTTGGGATTCCCGTCTTTCCCAATAAGAAAAGCCCTGTAACAAAAAAAAAAAAGATGGATGATAGACAGAGAATGATACATAACAAGAACATGAGTGAACATAATGGGGTTGATTTACTAAAGTCAAACAGGCTGTGCACGTCCAGAGTAAAATAAAGTTTTGCCTTTAGTCCTAGTTTAATGCAGCTCTGTAATTGTTAATACATCATTAAAGCGGAGTTCCACTCACTCTGTAAAAAAATATAAGTCAGCAGCTATAAAAACTGTAGCTGCTGACTTTTAAAAAACAGCCACTCACCTGTCCCACGATACCCCGTTGCCCCCGCCATCCTGTATTCCAGGCTCCGACATCTTCAGTATGGGCACCCAGCTGTGACAGCTTGCGGCTTCACAGCCGGGTGCTCACTGCACCTGCATGAGTAGCACTGCGCTTCCTGAATGGCCCGTAGTCTTCTGGGACCTGTAATGTGTCCCACAAGACTTCGGGGGGGAGGGGAGGAGGACAACGTCCGCTTCCGATCGCCTAGGCGAGTACCTGTCAAATTCGGGTACACTCCCCCCCCACTCCCCAAAGGTGCCAATCCTTAATGGAGAGTGGGGGATCAATCTAAAGCGGAACTTCCCCTTTTGGGTGGAATTCCGCATTAAATGTATTTTTTAAATGCAAGCATGGTAAAGTACTTTGTTTTTTTATCAGCCTCTTGAAGTTTATTGTACAGTCTAGACAGTAAAGTTCACAGAAGGTAAAAGCAAAAAGGAGCCAGTCAGATATGCTGTAGCAAAAGAAGCATGATTGTGGGAGAGAGCAGAGTGACAAAGATTAGCTCATCAATGTGCGGCCTCTCTTTGCACTGTTCTGACACATGGTGGGGTTGGGGAGGAGACCTGTAAAGAGAAGTGAAAAATCCAGCAGAGACAGACCAGGTCTTCTTCACTTCCAGGAAGGACTGTGCTGTCAGTGAGAGCTGTGAAAATATCAGCAATGGATGGACAATCCTTGTCCTTCTCCCTTCTTTAGATTTCATTTGTGTACTCAGCAGCTTGCCTGGAGTTCAGCTTTACATTTGCAGAGACTCTTTTTACAGGATATTATTTTGCTCCCCCAGATCAGTAGAAGCAGCACTTCAATAAAAACCCAACCAAGCTGCTAGAGGATCTGCCAGAAATCCAGTGTGCTTCTAACTTCCTGTTTGGGCTGACAACGCCATGTGCCCTTACTTAACGAAAAATCACAAACAGGTTTTCCAGCCCCACCAGCTGGATGACAGCCTTTCACCTACAGTGGGGCAAAAAAGTATTTAGTCAGCCACCAATTGTGCAAGTAATTGGCATCATAGGTAGACCTCAACTATGAGAGACAAAATGAGAAGAAAAATCCAGACAATCACATTGGCTGATTTGGAAAGAATTTATTTGCAAATTATGGTGGAAAATAAGTATTTGGTCAATATCAAAAGTTCATCTCAATACTTTGTTATATATCCTTTGTTGGCAATGACAGAGGTCAAACGTTTCCTGTAAGTCTTCACAAGGTTGGCACACACTGTTGCTGGTATGTTGGCCCATTCCTCCATGCAGATCTCCTCTAGAGCAGTGATGTTTTGGGGCTGTCGCTGGGCAACACGGACTTTCAACTCCCTCCAAAGGTTTTCTATGGTGTTGAGATCTGGAGACTGGCTAGGCCACTCCAGGACCTTGAAATGCTTCTTACGAAGCCACTCGTTCGTTGCCCAGGCGGTATGTTTGGGATCATTGTCATGTTGGAAGACCCAGCCACGTTTCATCTTCAATGCCCTTGCTAATGGAAGGAGGTTTGCACTCAAAATCTCACGATACATGGCCCCATTCATTCTGTCATGTACATGGATCAGTCGTCCTGGTCCCTTTGCAGAGAAACAGCCCCAAAGCATGATGCTGCCACCCCATGCTTCACAGTAGGTATGGTGTTCTTTGGATGCAACTCTCCTACCAAGCAGTTCTGTTTTGGTTTCATCTGACCATATGACGTTCTCCCAATCCTCTTCTGGATCATCCAAATGCTCTCTAGCAAACTGTGTTTCAGACGGGCCCGGACATGTACTGGGTTAAAAGCAGGGGGACACGTCTGGCACTGCAGGATCTGAGTCCCTGGCGGCGTAGTGTGTTACTGATGGTAGCCTTTAAAAATTACAGCCTACAATAAAAAACTATTTTATGGTGTTGGTCCCAGCTCTCTGCAGGTCATTCACTAGGTAGGTCCCCCCCGTGTGGTCCTGGGATTTTTGCTCACCGTTCTTGTAATAATTTTGACCCCACGGGGTGAGATCTTGCGTGGAGCCCCAGATCGAGGGAGATTATCAGTGGTCTTATATGTCTTCCATTTTCTAATTATTGCTCCCACAGTTGATTTGTTCACACCAAGCTGCTTGCCTATTGCAGATTCAGTCTTCCCAGCCTAGTGCAGATCTACAATTTTGTTTCTGGTGTCCTTCGCCAGATCTTTGGTCTTCACCATAGTGGAGTTTGGAGTGTGACTGTGTTTGAGGTTGTGGACAGGTGTCTTTTATACTGATAACAAGTTTCAAACAGGTGCCATTGATACAGGTAATGAGTGCAGGACAGAGGAGCCTCTTAAAGAAGAAGGTACAGGTCTGTGAGAGCCAGAAATCTTGCTTGTTTGTAGGTGACCAAATACTTATTTTCCACCAAATTTTTCAAATAAATTCTTTCCAAATCAGCCAATGTGATTGTCTGGATTTTTTTTCTCATTTTGTCTCTCATAGTTGAGGTCTACCTATGATGACAATTACAGGCCTCTCTCATCTTTTTAAGTAGGAGAACTTGCACAATTGGTGGCTGACTAAATACTTTTTTGTCCCACTGTATCCTCAAACCCTCTCTGTTCGACTCCACATTTCTTTTACAGCAAAACAATACTGCTGCCTCGAGTCCCAAGAGCCTGTACACATGCTACATGTGAAGGGCTATTGGGAGACATAGTTCTGGTGGCATGCATACATCAACAGGAACCGAACTCCGAGCATGTAGGATTTTGAAAGATAATGTCATATAGAGTATTAAATGATGGGGGGGAGGGTGGTATATTTAGGTTATGCCTGGACAACACTTAAAGACATAGTAACTATTGATGTTGTTAGCTCTGTTGTGATGGTAATAAAATTAAATGGAAAAAATATACAAGTGTTAAAAATGTATAATAATAAAAAAGAAAAAATTAAAAGCAACCCCATGGGGCACGCACATTTATGTAAACACAAATTGCTCCACACATGTGAGGTATTGCTGTAAAGTCAAAAAGAAAGCAGTAATTCTACGTTCATAATTAATGAGCTTTTCTAAACTGATGACCTATAAAGGCTTTTAAAGAGTCACCTATGGGCAATTTTGGCAATTTCATGGGCATCCAAACTTTTTTCTCAACAGGTATAGCATGCACAGTTTTAAGGCTTGACATGTTTGGTATCAGTTTTATTCAGTGCCACCCCACCTTTTATACTTGCCAAAAAGTTGGGTATTACATTGTGTATGTATGCACTAAAATGTATTTATTTATTTTTACAGAAAGTATGCGTTTGATGAATATTTGTATAAATATCATGCACCGTAAAAAAAAAAAAAAAAAAAAAAAAAAAAAAACTTTGGAACTCCCACCATTTTATTCTAGAGTCTCTGCTTTCAGCAAATATTTTTCTCTGTTTGGGGTTTTAAGTAATTTTCTGGCAAAAAAGTTGTGTGCTCAGGTCAGTTACCGTATTTTTAGCTCCATAAGACGCACTTTTTCCTCCCCAAAAAATGGGGAAAAAAGTCTGTGTGTCTTATGGAGCGAATATGGAGCGGCTGGCCCGGTAAGTCCCGCCATGTTTGAATACTGGGCCGGACGCTTGGCTCTTCTCTGCAGACCTCCAGCGGTCCTACGTGTTCCTCGGTCCAGCGGTGTCCTCAGTCTTCTCTCCCCGGCACCCGACATAGGCACCCGGCTGTGACAGATTGCGGCTTCACAGCCAGGTGCCCACTGTGCATGTGCGAGAAGCGCTTGTGCTTTGTGGATGGCCTTGTAGTCTTCTGGGATCTGTCATGTGTCTCAGAAGATTATGGGGAGGGAGGGGGAAGGACAACTCCGCAGAAGTGGGAGCTGGTACCTGTCAACTTCGGTTACCCGCTCCCCAAAGGTCCGCAGTCTCTGGTCATCTCCTGTACTATATCCGCAGTCTCTGGTCCATCTACTGTACCAGTGTCCATCTCCTGTACCGCAGTCTCTGGTCCATCTCCTGTACTGTGTCCGCAGTCTCTGGTCATCTAGTGTACTATGACCGCAGTCTATGGTCCATCTCCTGTACTATGTCCGCAGTCTCTGGTCCATCTCCTGTATTGTGTCCGCAGTCTCTGGTCATCTCCTGTACTACAGTCTCTGGTCATCTCCTGTACTACAGTCTCTGGTCATCTCCTGTACTACAGTCTCTGGTCATCTCCTGTACTACAGTCTCTGGTCATCTCCTGTACTACAGTCTCTGGTCATCTCCTGTACTACAGTCTCTGGTCATCTCCTGTACTACAGTCTCTGGTCATCTCCTGTACTACAGTCTCTGGTCATCTCCTGTACTACAGTCTCTGGTCATCTCCTGTACTATGTCTGCAGTCCATTGGTTCAGAATATTTTTTTTCCCGTTTTCCTCCTCTAAAATCTAGGTGCATCTTATGGTGTGAAAAATACGGTAATTTAAAAGTAAAGTAATTTCAAAAGTCTTTCAACCTTTTCAAACCTGCAGCTTTTATTACAATAATACTCAGTAATCCTGCCATGAAGATTCTTGTTCCGGAATTTATGGGTGACAACTTCACTTGCAGTAGAGACTACAAATGGCCATGCTGCTGCCAGGAATTGTATGTTGTCACCAGCAGAGAAATGCTGTGCATCCGTATATGTGTAGAGGAAGTGACTGAAAAAAGGCTGGAGGATATCAGCAGCACTGAGATGGAATGAAGGATGAAAAGATCTGAAAAGTGTTTAAAAAAAAAAAATAATAATAAAAAGGCGAT